TGGTCGGTACACTCATCCGGAAGCTCGACAGAGGCAACCCGCAGCAGCGACCACCATTCCATGTAAGCGCGCGCTTATCATCGTCGAAGTCCACCACCGTCCATGTAACCGTCAGAGTTCACCGTTAGCCGGCAAATCGTAAATCTCCTTCGTCAAAATCATTTCCCTTTACGCAAATACCGCTTCAGACTTGCACACACTTATATATGACAAGACAAAGAAGAGTATGTGACAGACAAGAGTAGTCAATTCTAATGTCTAACACTTCATGTGGAGAAAGAGATGTCCTGTATGGGTTGATTGTGCGTTGATCTGTTGTTAATGCCTCGGGGTTCCGGTGGGCATGTAAACAAATGCATAATGCTGCGCTATACTTTGTGGCCTCACCCGGTTGCATAGCGACACTTATTGTTTAGGTGTCTTTTAATAAGCAGGTAGTCATATCATTAGCTAGAACTAGCTGGATCTGATCGATATGGACATAAACGAGAGTGAAGTCTAATCTGACGGGAGAGAGAGATCAGCTGCTGCTGACGAGTCGACACGCAGCTCTGCATGATCACATGCAGCGGTGAGCGGACAAAACACAAACTCCAGGTTAGAATATCACACGTAGCTATTTTAATGACCTCTCAAACTACCGTAACTAGTTATAGATATGTTTAGTGTTACTGTCGGGTCACTCATTACTGATCCGCGAGCTGCATGATACTGGCATAATAGATTGCCCGATCGGGAAACCAGCAGGTGAGGCTTCATTGCCCGAGCTAAATACTAGATGGCCCCGGGCCATCGGGCAGTCGTTAATGTCGAGCCCTGTGTATGACAGTTAGCTTCACTTTAGCTTGTTAAGCTATTAGCCTGTATGACAGTTAGCTTCACTTTAGCTCTTTAACCTTTTAGCCTATATGACAGTTAGCTTCACTTTAGCTTGTTAAGCTATTAGCCTGTATGACAGTTAGCTTCACTTTAGCTCTTTAACCTATTAGCCTGTATGACAGTTAGCTTCACGTTAGCTTTTTAACCTATTAGCCTGTATGACAGTTAGGCCCAATCCCAAACCACTCCCTCGACCCCTCCGTGACGGAGTGAGCTCCGTCTGTAGCCACACTCGCAGCTCAACGAGGCTCCCTCCTGTCAGATGGAGGGAGTAAATACAGCGGCAAGCTTTGGGACGGCTTCCCCTCCCTCCTGCAGAAACAGGAAATGCCGTAACTGTATGTAACAACGGTTTCAAATCAGCATCTCTTAGACAACAAATGTAAATTAATAACTCAAATAAAACTCCAAACATATTTCATTGTGTTACTTTTTTGCAAAGCTCTTTTAGTTTTAAACCTGATGTTTAAAAGCTTCTTAGTTTTTGCAACAGTCTGTCAATATACACAACTTTATAGTAAAATACACACATTTACCTTTTTCTAGACTAAACACAGGTATGATCCTAATTTAAAACATATGAGGTTATCATGAGGTTGTTAACATCGCAGTTTATCAGTGGATGTTTGCTGGAACTACTTGTAAACAGCATGTTTCCTGACGGGGACACACAGCGTGACTCCAGTCAGGTAGAGACCGGTCTTAAGTCAGCACCGCTGCAGACTCGCTGTTTGAGGGCTTGATAGCCGACTCCCCCTCCACACCGCTCCACACTCGTTGGTTTGGAACAGCCCTCAATATGGCGGACACTCCGCGTGAACGCGCAAACGGAGGGGTAGGGTGTAGGGGTAGGGTGTAGGGGTAGGGTGTAGGGGGGGCGGTTTGGGAATGGGCCTTAGAGTCGACTCAAGGTATTTTATCTGTACGCCTTCCCTGTAAGTGCGGGTAATAGCTGAAGGTTGCCATGGTGCCTTTTTTCCCACCCAGAAAAAATGTGCAGAATAATTTAACTCTTATTTTCTCTGTTTTCAATGTGTTGCCGGGAACCCCGGGGGCAACTGAAACTCCCCGTCACCTCCACAATGGTGCCGTTAATTGTGACCCGGTTTCACGCAACTGAGAGAAGTGAACACTGATCATGCTCTCCATGCAAAGTTCAACAAACAAGAATGTCATTGTCGATCACACCAGTAAATAGTGCCCAGCAGAGGGACTATGGGCCGACAGCTACTTTGCATTTGCAGCCTGCCCATGTTTTGCATGTGCAATGGGTTTTTCTAAGCAAGCCATGTGCAAATACCATATTGCAGTTTAAAGGTGGGGTAGGTAATTCAATTCAGAAACACTTGTTGTTATATTCCATGGAATGCTCTTAACATCCCGATAGCAATGAATGCATTAAATGCTTAGACAATAAATATATACATTTCATCTGTGGAAGCCGTAGTACTGTAAAGCACGACCAATCATCTGAGCCGGCCCGGCTAAAATAACTGGATGGCCTACCTGCCTGTCAGCCTTCCATCTGTGCACAAACTTATCTTGTGCCCTCATTGGTCATGTGCGTGTGTGTTGGAGGAGGGGATCTGTAAGAAAGTCTGAAGGAAGGGGCAGATTGTTTTCGGCTGTACTTTCAAATTCTAGCGCACTCGAGCTGGTTTCTCCATTCTTACCTACCCTACCTTTAATGAGAGGACAGCCTACAACTGTATGAGGCCTTTTAACCAGGCTATGTACTGGAATTGTAAAAAGGCAATTAGCTGTATTAGCCAATTATACTTTTCGATAACAGGTCATGTCATCTCTTAAAATGCACCCATGTTAAATCAATACCTTTTTTTGTGTTAGGCCCTCAGTTTGTTAAAAAAAATGCTTTGTAATAATGAACCATTATAAATAACTAATTCTGAGGCCTTTATGCAAGAAAGCACTCTGACACAGCAGTGGTGTTGAGCAGTGGGAGTGCAGTGCAGAGGAGGATTGTGGGAGTGGATTTAACAGGCACAGATGTCTGCAAGGCAACTCTAATCTGGCTGAGGAGGAATAATGGCAGTAATTGCTCCGTCTTCTTCAGAGCACACTGGCCAGCTGGCTGGTCCTGCACATCATGTGATGAAGATGGTGGGTTTCGAAAACCTATGAGCACTAAGAACAGCACGTTAAAAGTATTTCTGCAATTATAATTGGACTACCCTACTTCATAGCTCGATAAATGAGCTTGCTAGTTCAGCATCTAAATTGTATAATTTAGAGAGATAGTTTACCATTTGCACTTTTGATCATTTTAAGATCAAAATGGCTATAAACATTACCGATGAAATAATGCGTGTGTAAATAAAAGGTAACTAGTTTGAGAAACACTATGAAGATATATTTTCATTATTAATAAAAAACATTTCAATATGGGTCATTTTTTATCCACTTGTGGAAGAGTGTAGATCTAATTGAACTATACATCAAAAAAGTCTCCTTTAGTCTGGATACATAACAGATCTGACCTCAAACCCTATGCAAGTGAGACAAGAACTGTGTACCACAGGAGTTAAGTGACAACATACAGTATGTGTTTCTGAACCTGTGTGAACCAGCCTTTAGGAACACCTCCAGGATGTGCATCTCAGCAACAACAGAACAAAAAAAAAAGAAAAAAAACCTCCTTTGGCAGTTGAATAGTTGGTAATCCTCATACTGTATCTGCTGACCAGAGGGGATTCCCTGATATTTGATCTCTGCAAATGATCCAGGAAGAAGCACAGCACCAACCAGGATGTGAGTGGATGTGTGGCTCAACTTACTTTAATCTTCTGAGTATGAAATAAATCCACATGTATATACCCTTGCTTTCTTTCATACACTACAATATGCAGACCCAATTCTGCTTGAGAAGGCATTAAAACCGTGGCTCGTACTGGCTACAACAATGACCTCTGGCAAATAAAACCCACAAGATTGCTTGTTACTTACACTCATCTCCTGTTTCATTACCTTCTCTCTGCTCACTGTCAGTGTTTTTCCACTGCTGAGGGTAATCCATGTTGGCCAGAGCCTGTGTGATCTTCTCGTCCAGCTGCCTGAGACCAGCTTCATCAGCTGAACTTTGCCCGAGTCGCATATCCTCCTCATCGCTGTCTGACCCCAGAGCGAAGGGCTCCTCGTCAGCTGCCTGCGTGGAAAACCTCTTCAGGACCTCTAGGTAGCTGTGAGGGCCGAGCTGCTCCCTGTTTGCACTCAGGTACTCTGCAGCCTGCTGGGCAACATCCCTGATGTATCCAAGAGAAGCTTCACCTTCACATGGATTAACTTGGTCCTCTGTGTAAAAGTAGGGTGTCACAGAGGCAACCTCCACAAGGGCATGGCCTGTGGAAGATAGAGAGAATCATGATAAGGGGGTAGATAATGACAAGGCCAAAAAGTGAAAACTAAATGTTTGATTGAAGGACATACCGGGAACTGTG